CCTCCCCGGTGCGGCACTGCGCAGTCGTGCGGCCGCCGGCGGTGAGGCAGTGGGACAAGGTCGACGGCCGAGCGCACGTCGCGCACCATGTGACCAAACAGGGAGGCCTTTGCGCCGTGCCGCGCGTAGAAGGTGGTGCCTCCGCCGCGGAGGAAGAACTCATTAATGAATTAATGTTAACTGATTAATTAAGACTAAGAACTAATGTAGTGGTGCCTCCGTCGCGGAGGCGGCTCGCAAACCCAACCTGGTGGCAGTGCGTGCGTGCGCTGATGAGATCTGTTGTGGCGAGCTTGGGCCGAGACTGGCCGAGAGGTCAACGGCGGCCGAGAGTGGCCGAGAGTGGCCGAGAGTGACCCTCGAGATTGGTGGAGATCGCCTGGTCGTAAGCGAGGACCAAGTAGCCCTCCGCCGCAAGGTCGGTTGGGACGTGTGCCTGCGGTGTGTGAATAGAGGTGTGTGAATAGAGGCCAGGTCGGTTGGGACGTGTGCCTGCGGTGTGTGAATAGAGGTGTGAATAGAGGTGTGTGAATAGAGGCCAGGTCGGTTGGGACGTGTGCCTGCGGTGTGGCGACACCAGCGCTCACTAGTCTGGAGCTCGCACTAGAGGCCGCCATCGCATTCGCCTTCCTGGGGACCCAGCGCTGACTTCTGACTGCCGTCGCTGTCTCTCTCCCTTCTCGACTGCCTGTGCTTGTGCGTCTTTGGCCCGGGGTTGTGTGGTTGCGTGAAGACACCGGCGTCAGGGGCGGGAGTACGGTATCGCGCAAGGCATGCAGGGCACCACCACGCGGGCAGCCGGGCCCCGAGTGCAGCTCAAAGCCAGCGGAGTACGCGTCCTCTCGAGCGCTCGCCGGAGAGGGAGGTCTGTACCACGGACTCCGCTTCTAGGAGTGCGCGCCATGCCTGTCGGGGGCGTGTCCCGGACACGTCGTGGACGTGTCGCGGACGTGTCGTGGACGTGTCGCGGACGTGTCGCGCGCGACGCGCGAGGAGGGCGGGAGGATGGGCACCGTACGACGGAGAGAAGCCCGAAGCATATGAGTACGGATGCAGCCACACCACCGCTGGCAGCGCGCCGCCGCCGCCCGCCCCCCCCCTCCGCGCGGGCCAGTATGCCGTGGCGGTCACGTAGTCGCCGAAGGAGAGGGGCTGCGGACGCGGGAGGGGGCGGAGGTGGGAGGGGGAGGGGGCGGAGGCGG